CATCTGGTGAAAATTTCATGTCATTAGCACCTCTAGTAATATATTTACTGAGAAAAATGGTGACGTGTTCAATACTTATTTTACCTGCTGTATGAGCGAAACCCAGCATCTTTAACAGTCTATTTCTGCCGTGAAAAGTCAGTCAAACATTAGCAGTTTACCCTTTGCTCCGGCGGTAGGTGGTGCCAACAGGACAAGGGACTGGAGGAGCATAAAGGTCACCCAGGAACTCAGGGTCAGGCACACACACTTGAAAAGACAAGTCTTCAACCAGCTTGAAGCCATAGTCACTAAAGAGAAGGAGAGAGAAAACCTTGACTTCTGCATTCTGTAATAACAGAAGAACCTCATTTATAATCTATATTAGTGAGAAAGTATTTTCCATTACTGAAGATCAGTGATGTGATATTATTCTGATATTACAGGATTCTGGTGTGTTAATGATCCCATTTTGTTCCTGAGCAGCTCCCTCACCACTCATAGTCCTGGCGTGTGCAGGAACAGTTGGAGATGGTGACTGGTCTGTCAAAGTCCTCTCCATTAAAGCAGGTAGCATGAGGAGCTCGTCTCTTAAAGGTCACCTCTCTGCCCAGCAGACACTCGTTACCATGTTCGTCTGATGGAGACCAGCGTTTGTAGTCGGCCTCAGAACAAGGAACACCTGTAGAAAACAACAACATCTGCAATTATTTCAATAGAAACAGTAGTTAGAAGAAAGACATTTCCTTTTTGGATGGGTTTAAAACACTATACAAGATACAAGCAGCATCTCTTTGACAGAATCAAAAATCAGGTAAATTTGGAATTTGGACCACAAAGTGGGGTAATGCATTCTCACAGGAACTCCACTTAAAGTGGGTAGATATAATAAAAAAATGTTACATTTAGGCCATAAAGACAAATCATAACATTTGTACTTGTGAGAAATTAAAAATACCAAATGAAAAAGAACAATTTACCTTTAGTTTTGTGAGTGTGGAGATTAGGGCTGGGCCATATCACATCATTCACAATAATACTGGTAATTGTGATATTGATTTTAGGCCATATCACCCAGATCTAGTGATGTTTCATTTTGCTTCTGTGTGAAGCATAAACTCTGATATAAAAACTTTGTCAGTGCAAATATGATGTGCTGTATATACAGTATATACGGTTAAAGAATGTAACTGAGTTAATCAGTAAATTTTGGGGAAGTGAAAATGTGGGACAATCCAACAGAGGTGGGAGAGTCTGAAGTTAATAATAAAAATGTTGACTAGTTAATAAAGGTGTTGTAGAGGTGCTGCTGTGTTCCTTCACACTCTTCATACCAAGAACATCTGAGGTGTTGACTTGCAGAATGAGCCAACTGTGCCTCTGCTCAGCGTACGACCCAAAGATGGTGAAGATGGTGCTTTTCTCTCCAGGCTCAGTCAGCAGCTGGTAAACATAAACTTCCTTGTCTGAGAACTTAAATTCAGTCCACGTCTCTCCTTCATTGGTGCTAAACCTGAAAAGGACATTTAATGTATTATTTAGTCTTCTTTGACCTTAGAGCAATGTTCAGCTCTCAGATTTATCAGAACATTTACCAGCCAGTGTTGAGCATTTGTTGTAGACGGTATGAAAACCAAAAAGGTGCCAACTTATTTTTTCTCTCCTCATTGGCCACAACAAGAAAGGAAGACTAACATTATTTGTTAGCAGCAGTGAACAGCCTTTGCACCTGAGCAACACTCAGGTCTGTGTTGCTCTACAGGCCAATGACAGTTGTCAGATCCATGCAGAAACTCCTCTTTTCTAGGATGTGTTGGGTCAAAGGTAAGGACCAGAAAGGACAAAAATGTCTTTGAAATGGGAACTAAAATTCAAAAGGGCTGATAGTCACAATTAAAGAATTTCAATTTGAACTTTATATAAAAACTTTATTTTACATGTTTTTATTTAAATGGAATTACTTTGTAGAAACAGAAGTTTCATTTTGTCTATGAAGAGAGTTTGCAATGTTTTTGTCATTTATATTGACCATGTCTGACCTTTCATAACAGTAAACAGGTAAAAAAATATCCATGGGGTGAGTACTTTTGAAAAGCCCTGAATATATACTCTGTAAATTCTAACAATTTAAGGGTTTGTTCAGGCAAGACGACATATTCTGAGGTTAGGGTCCACATGCTGTGATGAAAACACATGGGTTTTATACCTTTAAAACATCACTTGTACTGCAGTATTTGTAACCCACAGCAGCAGATTTGTACAGTTGCAATCATTTATTTGTGTTTGTGTACATGGAAAAAATGATTAAAAATTGTTTATGACAAGACATTATTATACAAGTGTGAAATCACTTTGCAACATTAATTTTGGTACAATTGTTTCAAAATTGTGAACGTTACAGATTTTTGATGTGCAACTTGTAGAAAACTATTTGTGAACTTGAATTTAACAATCTGAAGAGGTGGAATTGCTGTTTTGTATGTGTAATAGATTAAAAACTATTACAATTACAAGTTCACAGTTACAAATTTCAAATTGTTTTACAAGTTACAAGTTCTGTTATACAAAACACAAATCATTATGAAACTAAATTAATTGTATAAGTTTTTGCAACATTAAAGATGTCGAAGCTCAAGATGGAATTTAAAAAATAATCTACTGGAAGCCTATTTTGGACCTTTACATACTGTGATGCTTAACAGTTAGATTTAATATATGGTCAATATGAGTAAAATAGTCATAAAAGTTGGCACAAGTTGTCCAAAACGTTTTAGTTTTAGATAAAGTTATAAAATATAACTTAATATAAAATATATGGGCGGCGGCCGAAGGAGGGGACCCTGGCGGTCTGATCCTCGGCTACAGAAGCTGGCTCTTGGGACGTGGAACGTCACTTCTCTGGTGGGGAAGGAGCCGGAGCTAGTGTGCGAGACTGAGAGGTTTCGGCTAGAGTCGGCCTCACCTCGACGCATGGCTCTGGTTCTGGAACCAGTCTCCTTGAGAG